GCAAAAACTGGATGTTGTTTTCTTGGTGAACCCTATCATTAGTCAGTCAGAGATTGGGTTGAAACTGCTGAGACGCACAGAGCCTCGGTGCCAATGAAACGTGTGCTGTGATGAATCACATTTAATCCCAAACCTTTTACGAGTCTCCGTTCCTCCGTGTCCTCCTCTCTTCTTCCAGTTCACCTCTTTTATCATTGCGTATGGGGGCCATTTTGAAGCAGACCCCTCACAACTGTCGAATAAGAGAGCAGGGGAGCAGATGGCAGTGAGACTGGCTCCAGATGGGAATTTTTGGCCAGAACAGCGAGGTTAGTGCAGAAACACCCCGACACTAAGTGCCAAGGAATCTTTAAAGAACCGAAGTGAGTCAGGACGCTGGTGTTGATGAGTCCTGAATAATGTCGCGGACAGGACCACGCTTTGGGAACAATTACAGAACTCTTCTTTGGTGGAGTCACAGTGGTCTCACTATTATTGCTACAATAATATTTAATGAGTAAGTTAATGATTGGCTCAGTCTAAAATAATTAAGGGGCTTTAATATGACACTTGGGAGAACATTAGTCATCAGGCAGCAGGCAGCTGCAGGGAATCATCCAGGATCCACTTCAAGAGAAGCGTGATTGTGCTAACGACCTATTGGAGGCTAAATATTCACCTTTCGTTTCACGTTTGAAATCAAATCAAGCCGTCTGCCCCTCAAATCTTATACAGAGCATGACTCATCGGATTTACTCCCAGTGATTTTCCTCTAAGCATTTGGACAAATTATCAAAGAAGTTATCTGTATTGTATCTCATGGCAACTTTTTAAGATGTTCTACTTCACAGCTCAGTTAAGAGATAGGGCCACCTTATGTTGGGGGCATCATGATTGACAGCTGAGACTGATCGGTTGAGCGCTTGTATCAGCGGGACCTCGCTTCTGCGTCTCCAATCTGGCGACAAATGTATCCGGCCATTTTACTTCATTTCTGGATAGTGGGAGGAAGGGGAAACATTGGATTTGATGAGAATCAGAAACCTATCATGGCTATCTATAGTAACGCAGGTTATTGTCAAAGGTGCTGTGATTTGCTTTTTGTGCCTTTGTATTATTATCGTAACTCAGGTGGATACAAACCAATGGTCTGTGTCATTGCTAGGATAGTGTTTTGACTTCTCACAGTATATCTTTAATAAGACAGTTTTACTTTGTCCATGATGTTTCTCAATCGTTCTTAATGGCGTCTCTCTATGTTGTAGGTTTAATTGTCCTTTTAATTAGCCTCTGAAAACAAACCAGTTTTTTAACTTCCTTTTTTATCTTCTAGCACCTGAGTGTGTGACAGTGAGGTAGCGTCCTGTCTTTTTACTTTTAATAGCAGTGCCACCTTTAAGTTATAATAAAAATGCAAAATGCTTTTGTGTGCGACAGAATGGTCTAGCTATTGTTGGAAAGTTATTCACCAAACAAAACATAATTCTTCTATGAAACAAAATTTTACTAAAATTTGAATTAGCCATCATCACAACAATTGTAATCTTTTCTGGGTCATTGAAAATAAATTCACCAATGTCTACATGATCTAAGTCAACAGACATTGTCTGAAGCTATTTAAATCTGAAGCCAAGTGTTTTGGACTACTACTTATATAAATTTACCATTGGACTGAAGTTTTATAAGTCAGGCTGCTGTCTGTTCTGGTCGTCATCATCTGTTAACTCCTCCGCACACATTATTTCTCACATAGTCAAGATTAGATGAGAAAAGGACATCTTCTTTGACCCTGACATATCACTGACGCCAAACTGATCTCAGAGTCCCACCTGAGGCGTCCAGTGCTGCAGTGGACCGTCAGGTACCTGGGATGGTCAGTGTCTTTAATAGTAGCAAGGTAAGTGCTTGGGTCTCAGCACATGGTCTCATTCTGAATGTCCCACTTTCCCAACCCACCGATTCTTTGCTGCTAAAAGCTGCTTGAGTGTTATCATCCATGTTGAGCTTTAGATGACAGTGTGTGTGCTCTTTGTTCTGGCTGTGTCTCGTGATGGGTCTGCAGTGTGCTGTATGAGTCTCGGGCTGCGTCACCGCTGACTGTAATGGCTGAACACTGCAGGGTGGAAACACCACTGCAGCCTGCATATATTTATATCCTTTTTTCCCCCTCAAAAACTAGATAGAGAACACGTCATCTGAGACTTTTAATCGTATAAGATGAGTGTTATGAGCAAGTCGTTAATATTCATATCGATAAGAGTCACTGGACTCTATTCTTGTTCCTGTAACAGTGAAGAGTAAAATAACATCAACTGTGAGTAACTTTTCTCAACAGCTAATTAGTGAGAGATTGTGTAGAAAGACCGTGACTCTATGATCAATAATGTTTCTCTAGGATTAACCCCACAAGACCAAACACTGTATTTCAAGGGGCAGAGCTGGTCCCCATCATTACCTCCTCAGTGAATACACATTCCCATTTTAATTTAACCAGGCAAAGCCGGATGAGCTCATGGGGTCCTGTTTGGAATTGGCTGTGGTGCGGTACAGGTATCATTTCCTGTGTCTTTCTGAAAGGCAGTGTTTTTAAGCTACTGTATAAACTATCACCATGGCAACCACAGCTACCCTGAAAATTCAACAAAATAGATTGAAAAAAAACCAGAAAAACAAAATCACTTCTTAGGGATTCATCTGTAATTACAAGAGCAGATCTTTTATCTGCTGCTCACTGGGCTTTTTTTGAGTGGGAGGGCTACTGTAATACATGGGTAGGAAGGGGGTAATTTATCAAAGATTTTTCTTTTCGGTTCCATCTGTTCATTTCAGTTCTGCACCCCATCACACTCATTCTGCTTCATCAACCTTACATAAGAGAAAGGTCATACTATATCTATTATTAAATGACTCAGTCATGGTATATTTATACATTATTAATCGCCTCAGTGTCGCCTCTAAACACACACAGCGTGACTCCAATCTGAGTGTCATATATGTATCAGCACAAACAAGTCTGCAATCTCTCAGGAGCAACACAACATCAGAATCATTAATAACGTCCTCACCAATTCAGCAGTGTGAGCCTTTAAATACACGAAGAGCGATAAGGAGGCTGCCTGTGATCATGCTATTGTTAGAAGAGAAAATTGAACATGAATGGCAGCGCAACTCTAAATACCAAACATGTCCTAAGAGGGAACTGAACAAGCAGCCTTTTGTGTAATAGATACGATTGTATAACATCTGACTGAGCCACCTGAACTGTCAGCATATCAGGACCATAAAAGCAGCACAGAAGCAGAAATTTACTGTGAAAGCACTGCATGGGGCAGAGCAGCAAGAGCTCTGAGACACCCGCCCACCCTTCCTGAATCAGCCGTTTCTGTGGCGACCAGAGTGGAGGGGGGTGGAGGGAGGCGCTCGGTGAAAGTGAAGAGACAAACATTTGAAAGCCGGTGGGAGGGATATGAAGACATGAAGGGATGGATGGATGGGTGGATGGATGAGGAGACAGATATTCTGAAGGATGGTTGATGAAGGGATGTGGAAGGGTCAGTGGGGAGCTGATTCCTCAACATCACAGTCAGTGACAGATTGACAGTCGTAGGCAAAACGCCAGCGTCCAGTGCGTGAGACAATCACTGAGGGGATTTTTCACTCTTGGTGGCAGCGCAGTTCACGGTCATGGCTCAGGGGTTTAAACCATCCAGACGCTGACAATGTCGCTCTGTGAAATCTCACTCAGCCATATGGTCCTATTCAAAGCCTCGTCTTCCTCTGCCCTCTCTGTTCACAAATCATAAAGGCTTGAAGTGAGTCACGGCAGATAAAGGCTTTCTTCACCAGCAAACTTCAAAAGAAACGAAGTTCATTCAACAGGTTGTGAGCTGGGAGGAAACAATTCTGGACCAACCTGCTGATTCCTTGAGGTAAACACTCATGAGCTGCCATTACACACGAATTACATCCAACACGAGCGTGCAATGGTACAAGCGACAAGTGATACATACTAACATGGAGGAGAGGAAGCTGAACTCTGATATGTTTTTCATGAACAGATTGTGAGACAGATTTACATAAAAAATGAAAAGGACTTTGTTTGAAAAAAATTCAAAATAAATATGATGAGATAACTTCAAGCCCTCCTGTTAAATACAACACACAAGGAACAAAACAAACCATTTAATATTTCTGCTCCGAATGAACAGCACATTGTACTTTGCTCATACTGCAGAAACAAGAGCCACACATGATGTTGCTCATCAGATCTTTGCTTCATTAGATTATGTAATGGATTGGATTCTCCCGTCAATGCCACAACAAGCAGAGATGGATGCAGAACACGTCTTGCGCAGTTAAAACAAAGCCTCTCGCTGAGCTCAAGAACCACAGTGAAAATCTGAAATGTAAACACCTGCAGATTTTCCTGAATGGTTGTCGATAAAAACTACACACACCCACCCACACACACACACACACACACCCAATAAACCAAAAAAAATGCACAATCTGCATTCCATCAAATACACATACGCTGACTGAAGCGCAAAATCTGCGATGACACAGTCTTCTTCAGGTTTTTCTTTTTTTCTGTTTGGAAACAAGACTGAGATAAGAGTAGCAGAGCTCAAACTGTTCCCACTCCACCCACTTTCTCGTTCAGGGGGCACATGGATTTACACATTGGGATGAAATCAGACAGGTTTTCTCTTGTCAGCAGCAACGCCCCTCCCCCCCTCCCCCCAAAACTCCCAGTGGTATTTTACACTTGTCAATCATGAGATAAACAAGCCTTCACACTAACTCACCTGCCTGCAAACATACATGTAAAAACACGCCCACCCTTCACATCCAAACGCACACACACTATTGATGGATTCACCTGATTTCTAAGAAAAAAACTTTCAGCAATGCACGTTGATGTCATCAGTGAATTTTAAAATGTTGATCATTCTTAATTGTTAAGTCAAACTGGGTCTACACTGCTGGGAGTATTTCATCATGAGGCTGAGAGGACTCACCTGTCTGTGTGGCTGGTGTCAGGGTCCTGGTGTGCGAGGATGCTCAGGCAGAAGATGCTTCGGGACTGGTCTCACACTGGACACATACCAGAGGACAGACGGGCTCTGCTCTGCTCTGCTCTGCTCTGCTCTGCTCTGTTCTGCTCTGCTCTGCTCACAGCACTCTCCTCCTCGCTCCAAGTCTCAGAGACAAACAGCAGCTCTGCCTCCGCTGCCTCTCCCACTCTGCCTTTCACACTTACTGTAGCAGCAACAGAGGGAAGGCTGGGGGCTGCAGACTCAGTGATCAGCACAAGTCTCTCTCTCCCTCTCCCTCTCTCTCTCTCTCTCCCTCTCTCTCCTCTCTCCTCCAGGCTCTGTGTCTCTCCTCAAGTGTGGCTACAGGCAACCATGGCTGCGGAGATGAGCAGAAAAACAGTGAGAAAGTGAACAAGGATGAAGTTCACTCCTTTGGGAGTATTTATGTTGTGTGCTTTCGTGGGAAAAAAAACAACAACAGCGTGCTCTGACAACAATAATGCACACAAGCATACAGGCAGTGGGAGAAAGCTTTACTCCCACCTCCTGCTCCCCCTTTTCACCACCACCTACCCACTCACCCACCATCTCCTTGCCAGCCCCACACCAGCCTGTTAAAATGAGTCATCAGCTGTCAGCCAATGGTACGTCGGCACACAGCCTCCGATTAGAATAACAGGAGTATTTATGCTCTCCTGTTTTGAGAAAATGAAAATGGAGAAGTGTCTGCGAGGACTTGACACACTTTGCTCTTGATGGTGAAGAGCCAAGCATTGAAGACAATCTACTCTTTACTCTTTCATATAATTTCTAGCTCACAGAGCATTCAGCATAAAGATAATGTATGGCTTTAAACACACAGCATTCATCACTGCATCGCTTGTGTGGTGTGGCTCACTGTGGTTTAAAATTCATTCTATCAAGGCTGCAATCACATTTGAGTATGATGAAGTCTGATCCTGGTAACTTTCCTGGGAAAATGAAGGTTAATGACTGAAATAGAGCACAGAGCCACTGAACTACTGCTGCAATGTGCAGCTACGTCCTGATGATTGGGGCATAAGTGCTCTTAGCAAACAAGAGTAAGAACTCCAGCTGAGGAATGATGTGGCGACAGATACGTCAGCATAAGCAGCATATTTAACATTGTCCTTGCCCTCACAACCATACTGGAGACATGGCTCTAATCATTTACATAGGTGCTCATAGGTTCGTCATTTTAATTTGGGTTATTACTTAAAAAGGTTTACATGCTTTAAAAATCGCATAATTTAACTCAAACTGTCCATTGCTGCAGCTCCTCGTTTCAGCCTCTGTCTAAAACGATTGGTTTTAGCGCCTGTCTCTTTAAATCCCCCCTCCCAACAAAGCCCAGTCTGCTCTCATTGGCCAGCTGGCCTACTCTGTTGTGTTTGGTCAACAGCTTTACAGCACGTGTAAGAAACTTCCCTCCCACTTTATTCGGCTTGTTCGGTGGCATGCCAGACAAACCACTATGGGGATGTCGTGATGTTACGTGACAGCACGATACCCCCAGAAGTAGCACCAGAACTACTGACCAGGAGGTAAATTATTGTTAAATTAAAAAAACTCCGCTTAAAATTAAAACTCATAAAAAAGACATTGTTTATATTTACAGTAGCAGCTAATAAATACAGTTAATATTAATACAGGATACAGAGATCTGGTATATTCACTATATGGATGGATGGATTGATGGTTGGATGGACGGACGGATGGATGGATTTATATATTTGCTTTTTTGTTTTCTATTTTAGTGTTTTCTCCTCTGCATCTTTTGGTTGACAGTTGAAACTTTCTGCAGGTCCTGCCAACACTACCTCAAGTGACTTGACATAGTGTTACTTGAGGCAGTTTATCAGATTTTGCACAGCTCCCACTGGAGTGACAAAACGCCTTTAAACAACTTTTCTCACATATGCAGCAGTACTCACCAACAAGACCTGTAAACAGAATTTGATGTGTAAAATAGGTGGAGAACCCTCTCACAGGCTCCTGTAAGTATTTGAGTGAGGCACCAACCCAGTTTCTGTCTGACCCCCTGAGAACATAAACAAAACAAGAGTATAAATATCAACATAGCATCAATGAGACCTGTCACCTCAGACCCATTTATCACAACCCTCTGGTGACCAGTTTGAATATATGTATGGGTCAAGACATTTTTCTTGGTTATATCATTTAAAATCTGCAAAAAGTATTAATCCTAATTTAAAGTCCACATGCTGAAATAAATGGGTTATTTTCGAGTGTTACAGTGGAAATTTTGAACAGCATTTATGTTCAGGTCAAGATTTAATTTGGTCTCAGACTCAGAGAGAATCAGATAAGAGTGGGACATCTGTGAAATGTGGAGCAAATAATGCAATAACGTTAACTCAATAACTGTCACCAAAAATTGTTTTAGCAACTGTAGATCCAAAACTGTGGTGGTCAACTGAAGGGGTCACACATCAGAATTAATTTCTGTCATCTCCGGTCCAGCAGAACAAATGGTGTGAAGAAAAGGATATACAAGACAAGGGTAAATGGAGGGACAGTGAGGTAAAAGAAATCAATAGCTGTTCATCTCAGAGCAGAACAATAGATAAAGAAGCATGTGAAGAGAAACCTATTCCAAAGGAAGACATGCAGCATCGCTATTAAAGCCGTTTCCTATCATAAATGTCTTTCTACTTGGCTGAGAGTATAGTATGTGTATTCAGATGATAGTAATAGAACATCCTGTGCTTCACTGATTCATAACATGCTTTTTCATCTCCTCAAATTTTCAATATCACCAGAAAAATAACCACGATGGAGAGAAAAATTCATTTATCTTGGCTTTATATTCAATATGTTCAAATACCATAGAGAAGGTGGGGGGATACACGGTCAGAATCAGATGATTGTGTATGTCTTCACAGTATATGAAAAACACCAAAATGTAATTTATGTACAAAACCTACACACTTAAACTGCAGTTAAGTGTTCCATTTAAGTAATATATATATTATAATATGTAACATTATAGTCATGTATTTGTCACTTTATCTATAAGTGCCTAGTTTTATCCAGTGTCCAGATACTTCACCAAATTCAGTTTAGATTGAAGCACAATCCTGAAAAAGCTTCACATGCTCAGAAGATCTGTTCGCTCCAGTCACCAAAGACTGACGTTGCATAAACATCTGTCTGAACTGCACTTTGTATAGGTATTTCATTTGTATGTGTCAAACTCTTAGGATGCCATATTTAACTTTCGGTGCATTTACTCTGAGAGAACTTTAGTCAAAACACCTCACAGCTCTTTCTCTTCATTGTATGGACTTATATAAGAATGAGGTGGCACATATTTTGGCCAAAAGCAAAGCCAGGAGCAGTTCCCTTCTCCTCCTAAATACTGGACCTTGTAAAAGCAGCTGTATCCAAATGAGAATGCTAGATGGAATGACAAGCATACAAATGTATGTTTGACATTTACAGCAGAGACTTGGAAATATCAGCCGGGATATAAAGACATTACCACTTGACAGCCTTAAGGAGTAATGTTTCATATAACATTTAAGTGAACCACTTTTGCAACTTTGAGGACGGCTTCATACTTAATCCAAAATATTTCCAAATATAATAATTGAGATATTATAATATAAATGTGTATACACATATGAGAATATACAGTATAGATACAAGTATTTCTGAATTGTATTTATAGTATAATGAACATGATGGAAGACAAATGCAAAATAAGACATATTTATGCAGCTCAAAGCAGGAAGAGTTGGCCTTTAACCACTTTAATGCAAAATGATGTATTCATTAGTGGCCTTTGTACACCTACAATTGCACAATCATCTTCAGTCAATTAGCTGGGCTACCTCTTGAACATTATGGTGGCCTGAGTCTGATCACATGCATCTTTGAACACATTATAAAACTGTCTCTCCTGGGAATTTTATCAGCCTTCTGTATGGATGACACAATGTTAAAGGATTTCAGTGATTACTTTGTGTGAAAAGGGGTTGATGAAAAGAAGGGCAGGGATACCGGTTACCAGAAGTGGACAAAAAGGTGAGAGGCAAAAAAACAAAACAATGAAAAGATCAAATCTGATGCAAGAGAGGTTATTCTGACCAGTGTCTGTTTATCAAGCTATGTGAACCCCTCAAATACCTTGATAAGGGACTTTTCTCAGTCTGTCTCTGCCATGTTTGAACTATACAGCTCACTCCCTCATCTCCCTTGAGGACATCCCAATCTGACACGAGCACACTGATGTTAAACGCTCTGAGCAAGGGGGGGTGAGCTCTGTCCTGCAATGCTCTATATCAGTTACTGAGTGTTGTCTTGGCTCTGGGGGACGGTGAGTGAGACACATAGCGGGTTAATCTCCTCCATCACTGTTGCTGTGTCAGGGGATGACAAAGGTGACAGGCCCCAACTCCCAACTCTGTTCTTTAAAAGAGGTGTAACTGAGTGTGTGAGGGAGTTTGCAGACGTGTGTTCTATCACTGCAGAAATGTACTTTAAACTCAGTACTCAGTAATCCATAATGACAAATAGAAAACAGGATTTAAGAAATGTTTACAAATGTGAATGTTTGAGACCATAGAGTATAAATGAAGATGGACGACATGACGGCTCCCCAAAAGTGAAGCCAATAATCCTGATCGCCCTCCTGCAGTACAGCTTGTAAACCCTGCCTCCTCTATGTTAGTGAATGGGACAAACTAAAGGTGCATGGTTTATGTAATTTGAAGCAGTTCTTATTGCACTGATGTATGTATTGTTTTCCTGTAAATTTGGATTCAATCGGTTATTTGATTATATAAAATTGGGTGAAATGTCATGATTGACAGCTGAGACAGACTTATGATTGGTGTGTTTATCGGCAAGATCTCCATTCCATTGCTCCACATCGTGATCACTACTGCGCACACTCCAAATGCTATCGAAAGCATAACAGGAGGAAGTGGCGATGTGTCATTCATGTCTATATACAGTCCATGATTCAGACCCTCTGCTGTGGCGTTAAAATTGTGGTCTCAGATGCATCCTGTTTGCTATTAGTTTTTTCCAGATTTTGATTGGAGTCCACTTGTGGCAGACTGAACTGATTATACAAGGAACTCAGCTTTCAGTATGACCTAAAGCACAATAGTACAGCAAAGACAACGCAGGAATGCTTTAAGGACAAGTCTCTG